TGCCATTCTCCTCAATAACGCATTTTTGTTGGCTCTCTTGTTCCATCTTAACCCCCCACCTCCTGCCATTCCCCTGCCAGTGCCTCTGGCATCACCACCCATGTAAGCTACCTGCACTGAATCTGTGTCTCGGGGTCTGCTTCTGTGACCACAAGTCAAGGACGACCTGTGGCCACCGGAAGCTGAAAGAGGCAGGGACCGGGTTCTCCCCCAGCCTTTAGAGGGAGCCCAGTCCAATTTACATCTTGGTTTAAGCCCTCAGATATTGAGCTTCTACCTCCAGAACTGTGGGCATTCAGTTGTTTACAGTCACCAAACGTGTGGTTGTTTGTTATGGCAGCCCCAGGAAATGACTTATTCTGTAACTTTTACAGAGAGTAAGTCATTCCTTTTAGGAAAACCGAAGCAGCTTAAGAAGTGCTTATCTCTCTTAGATGCAGGATTTAATTCCTGTTTTGAAATGGAAGCTTACATATTCAGAAGTAGTTACTTGAGGCAAATAACATTGTTCTCCTGCATAAAACCCTCCAGTGGGTTGCATCCAACTGAGACTAAAATCCTATCTCACTGGGGTACAAAGGGCTACAGAGCTCCTCCCACCTTTCTACCTCCTCTTGTCCGCAGTCCCTGGCCACATAGACCTTCCTTCGAATCCTGAACAAGACTTAGAGCCTTGTCTTCAGCCTGGAACTCTGTCTTCCTGAAGACTGCACAACTGACCCCTCCTCTTCCTTTAGACCTCAGACTCCAGCTCTTGAGAGAAGACTTCCTGGGTTCCTCTCTGAAGTCCCCATCAGATAGCTCTGTTGTAATTCTCTGTGGAGCAGTTTGGCATCTTTGGCTTCTCCCAGCAATCACGCTTTGCTCAATTCTTTCCCCTCCTAGACTGTAGGTTCCTCTACAGGTTCGAACCTTGTCTGTGTGCAAAGTGAAAGTGTTAGTTGCTCAGCCATGTCCGACTCTTTGTGACCCCATGGACTGTAGCCCTCCAGGTTCCTCTGTCCATGGAATTCTCCAGGCAAGAACACTGGATGGTTTGCCATTCCCTTCTCCAGAGCATCTCCCCACCCTGGCATTGAACCCCAGTCTCCTGCATTGTAGGCGGATTCTTTACCATCTGAGCCACCAGGAAAACCCTTCCCCCAATATTAGAACAGGTTCCAGCATAGAGTCAGGTTTCAACAAGAATTTGTGAGTGGGTAAATAAAAGAATATACAAATTCTGGTGGAGATGCAGTTTAGTGGCTTTTATTGTTTCCTCGTCAATAATCATTGTAAACCCAGATTGCTGCCATGAAGATATATGGCAAACCTCAGTGACAGAATGTATGGCTTGTCCACACAGCTCAGACCCTGACGATCCTGCCACAGGATCTGTGGCCCAGCGTGGACAGATTGGCTGATTTTTTTATTTAACAAGACATACTCCAAATCCAGTTTCTCATATGAGGCCACCAGTTTTTAAACATTGTCTCAAAATATTTTAAATACTCTTTGAGCCAACTGAAATATGTCTGCCAGTCAAATTCAGCCCAAGAATCTATTGTGCTGTGTCTCTTCAGCCCTTCCTGAGATTCCAAGACAGTAAGAGGTAGATACTGGATACGTTGAACTACCAGCTTATCAGAATTTACCAAGGGAAGGAAAGGAGAGCTGTTTCAGGAACCTACACACATGTAGAAACACAGGGCCTAATAAGAATATCCATTTGGGGCCCATCCTAAAAAAAAAAAAAGGAAAAAGAAAAAATGAGAGCAAAAGATCACAGCCTGGAATAGGCCAGGCCTACAGTCAGACCTCAGCACCCAGGAAACAGCCTTCTCATTGTGAGGTATTGCTGGTCAGTGAAGCAAGGCCCACGGGCAACTGTGGATGCCAGAGCCCTAAGTCCTTAACTTGTGGTTTTAAGGCAAGAAGCCCTGCCTAGACCTTGCTACAGGGCACGCTCTCCATGATCAATGTGCACCACATGTTTACTCTTTATGAATATACTTCATTCAAACATGTGTTTCTCCCTTTTCCTGGGATTTCTGATAACAAGTGTTACTTATCCACCCGGGAGGTACCCAGCATGTTCTCAGAGTTTCAGACCCAGTCTGTTGTTGCTTCTCTTTCACATGAGACTAAGGGGACAGAAATTTAGATCAGATGATGTCCCTGACATCCCCCAGCTCAGTATGGAACAGGGGAAAGCCCCCAGTCAGAGTCTCAGCTTTTCTGGTTATTACCAGGTGACCACAGACAGGCAGGTGACCCTCTCTGGGCCTTAGCCTCCAAATCTGTAGAAAAAAGGAGCTAGTGATGACACGGCCTGCAGACCCCTCCCTGTGTGACAGTCTTGGCTTGCATGACTGCGTTTCATAGTTGGTGCCTCCTGCTCCTTCAGGGGTCACTTATGGAATTCCGGGATGCCCAACACACCTGTAAGAGTGGAAGGAGCAGGAAGTGCAAGGACCCAAGAAAGGAGATCATGGATGGGCTTCCTCCATGCTCTCATGTGACCAGACCATACTGATAGAGAGCAAACCCTGATACCTCTTTGAACCAGGGCCTCAGAGCCGCATGTATCTCTTGGAAGGAAAAGAACATTGTTCTGGACAATTCTGGGAAAGATGCTGAGGAAGATTATTTTTGATCACAGACAAACTCAAAATATATTTGCTTCTTAATTCCTTGAATAAATGATTCATGGAATGCATGCATTTTAAGGAGCTGAATGCTTTTGGGTTGTTTTCCTGGAACCCTCCATTTCTGAACAGTCTCTAAAGACCAGTAATAAATATACACAGCTGCACAGCTAAGTGATCATGAGCATGCCCTTACATGTCTGTTGCATTTGCTTTAGGAAAATTCATTAATAAATAAACATTTTCCATAAACATGCCAGATAAAACAAAGGTAATGAGATTCACTTTTAACAAGTCGATACTAAGAATAACAAATGATGACTTTTTAGGGGATTTTCCTGTAAGTTTCCTGAAAGCCTCATAAATCTCTTCCCTCACCTCCTTTTTTCCCTGACTATATTCTCCTGACTGAAAATACCCTCCTACAATGAAAAATCCATAGTCAATTACACAGAGTTACAGAAAAGATGGTGAGAATGTGGAAAATAGCAAATAATCCTGGGAGAGTCTTCTTCACGTTCCAGTTCTCTTAATGCCCCCAAATGATCCAAGGCTGCAACCCCATGTCTTTTCTCAGGGTGACTGGTGTGGGATCGGCAGCCAGGGATGTAGTGTGATGTCAGGAGACTTAGAAATGCTTTGTGCTGAAATGACTTCCCACTGACGCAGGCTTCCCTGGTGGCTCACCTGCTAAAGAATCTGCCTCTGATGCAGGAGACCCGAGTTCAATTCCTGGGTTGGGAAGATCCCCTAGGGAAGGGAATGGCAACCCACTCCAGTATACTTGCCTGGAGAATTCCACGGACAGAGGAGCCTGGCGGGCTACAGTGCATGTGGCTGCACAGTCGGACACAACTGAGCAATTAACACTGGCTTCTGTGTCTACAATCCCTACAGTGTCTGGCACATCCTAAGAATTCAAATGAATGAATTACTTGAGTCTGAATTGGCCAAGGTAGAGGGTGACATTTGTTTTGGCCAACAAAGTATATGCAGCGGTCTCCGGGATGAAGAAGAGAATCCAACCAGGCTTCCATAGCTTGATACACATATTCTCTAAGTTTAAAACAGTCATGGAGAGAGCAGAGATTTGGAATCTTACACACTTTGTTGAATCCAAGCTCTACACATACAGTTGTGTGAACTTGCATGAGAGATTTAAAATCCCGAAGCCTACATTTAAAATTTTTTTTAATTTTTGGCCGTGCCACATGGCGAGTGGGCTCTTAGTTTCTTGACCAGTGTTTGAACCCACTCTCCCTGCACTGGAAGCTTAGAGTCTTAACCACTGGACCACCAGGGAAATCTCCCCAAGCTTATATTTTATTCTCATCCACCAATGACTATAATATTCACTAAATCACAGGATGGTTGAGGAATAGAATAAAATATCTTATGTAAATTATCTAGCACAGCATTGAACACAACTGGTGCTCAATGTATGTTTAGGTTTTCCTCCCAACTCACCCCTATACACTAATCCCTTGGCTCTGATTCCTTTTCTTTTCATTCATATTCCTCAAGTAATCCAAGTAGGGAAAAAAGGTGCTTAACAACCTACACAGAACAGTTTTCTCTTATTAAGCTCATTGCATGGTGATTTATCAAAGTTTGTATTATCTGTTTTGCAACTTGGAGTTTAGAATCTGGATAAAAGAACCATTCTAAGCCACAAAGAATTTCCATCTATAAAAAGTTTGAAGATATGCATTCACCTTTTTCAAGGCTAGCCCTTGTTTGGTAAAAAATCTCTTAAGTGTTCCATTAATTTTATAGATCTAAAAGAAGATACTCTATTATATTTCCTAGTATTTGGACATAACCATTGACATGAATGCAGTTTTAATACTGAGAAGATAATTTGCTTGAAGTACTGAAACATTACTAGAATTAATTGAGCCAAGGCTATTTAAGAATTTCTTGCCTTTCGGGGCGGGGATATTGAGGAAAGGGTTCTGGCAATGTCTCAGCTCTGTGTAACTTCAGAGGGCGGTGTGCTCTGGAAACTGTGGAAAACCTAGGTTGGAGACTTAGCACAAGATAGAAAGAAACTGTATTTCCTACCAGACCATTCTTCCCACCAGAAGTGAGTGCGTGCAAAGCACCTGGCCAGGGTTTGGCACAGCCCAGCATGGACTTGGTATCAACTATCATGGAAGACATTACTAATGAATAAATAATCCAAAAGAAACTGATATCAAGCTGTTACACACCTGTGTGTAAGAATGGGCTGTCTCTATGGGTAGTGGATATTTCTCTGGCTAGTTATTGAGAAAAGAGAGCAAATTCTGGGACAGGAATCAAGGGCTCCAGAGTGGACCTTAGACTAGGATGTGGACAGAACATCTCTTTTCTCCCTGTGCCTCATGATAGCCAGGCACCGACCATCCTGGGGAGCAGTCCGTGGAGGAGGACCAGTTCTGGAGCTTTGGCCGAGCTTGCACAGGTGGGGCCATGAAGAATCAGCACACAGAGCAATGTCCAGAAGCAGTAAAGGCACAGGCGCCACGGCTCTCAGAGAAGGTGCCGCCCAGGAACACAAGGACCCACGGAGAGCACGCGGCACAGGGTGAAATCTCTTCACACACAAGCCGAGGTCCAAGCCAACACTGTTTGGGTTATAGACATAACCTAAGCGCAGGGTATATTCAGCTTGGGCTTGGATATTTTGCTTACACACAGATTATGTCCGTCACTGTGCTCATCTCAATTCATTTGGTTGAGGTAGTTTCCAAACCCATTTTAAAGAGCAGAATCTGAACGAATTGAAAACTTCCATACCTACTCACCAAACCTGGCATCCCACATCAGCCGAGCCAGTGAGCAAACCTGGAAATCCTGTGCTTACTTTGACAAGACTTTTTTCTGCATTATGCCTTTAACACAAAAATTATGAAAGGAAAAAAGTGTGTGGAGTCCAGTCCAGCTATGATATTATTTATTCACCAGATATAAATTATTTCTCCATTGTAAATACAATCCTGAATTGTGCTTTAGTGGCAAGACTGGTTCTATGTTTTATTGGTGGAGGAAGCCCCTGAGATTCCCGCAAACCTTTGCTCAGTTGGAAAGCAGGACGCTTCTGTGAGGCTGTTCACCCTCTGCCTGATCACATTTCCAGATGCCACCCCAGCAAAACAAGGCAGAAAGAAAATCACCAGAGGCATATCCAATGCACAGGATAAACAGAAGCTACTGGAAGACGTGTAGGATCAGTAATGAAACAAACAAAAAAAAGAACCACAGAGCCCAGTTGGAACAAGGGAAGAAATCACTCATCACTCAGCAGGAGAATCACTGCACTTCACCGGGGCAGGTGAGCTGGGCATGTTTGCCTGTTAAATCATTACTGGGATTTAAAGAACCTGCATGAGGCAAGGCCACAGACTGATTCACATGCTATTTATAATTCCTTAACAGTTTGATGTTTTGCAGTCAGAAAAATAGATCACAGGAATGATTCACTGAAAAAAAAAAAGAAACATATATATTTATATATATGTGGCACAACCACCTTTTGCATTTTTTCCAATACCATGAAAATGTGTTTTTGTTATGCATCACATTATATAAAACGTGGTGCTGAGAGGATTCCTGCTTCCCTCCCCAGGCAGGAATGGAGGAAACAGCCTGAGTATGGAAATTGGGCCTCCCACACACCATGCGTGGGGGCCCATCCAAGACTCAGAGGGGAGACCAGTGTCATAAGCTCAAGGGCCTTCAGACTCTCTCTTCAGAGGGGCCTGGAGACCAGGAAAGAGGTGTTCAAATTGCCCTTAAACCCTGTCTCTAGAGAGCTCGGCCTGGACACCTTCATGAGGTTTTCTTGGGAAAGGAATCAAGGAGAAGGGTGGAGGTCAAATTCATGTATGACCTTGAAGCCCTGTCTACCACCTAGGAAGCTACAAGCTGACCACTGGCACTGTCTCTGCAGCAGGAATTCCTGTCCTTTACCAGGGGATCACCTGGAATAGGAGTCGATTACATTTTACAGTGAAGCACCTTTGTTCTCTTACTCCAGGTCTGAAGGACAATCTAGCTACATTCACAAACTATGGTTTCTGGAGAGAGTTGAAGAATTCTGTAGAGGTATATAATCTCCCGCTTGAGGAATGGTAGGTCTGGTTTCCTGGTGGCTCCGACTATAAAGAATTGCCTGCGAGGCAAGAGACCTAGGTTTGATTCCTGGGTTGGGAAGATCCCCTGGAGAAGGGAATGGCTACCCACTCCAATATTCTTGTCTGGAGAATTCCATGGACAGAGGATCCTGGTGGGGCTACAGTCCATGGCCTGGTAGGGCTACACAATCTATGGGGTCCCAAAGAGCCTGGACATGACTGAGTGACTAAGCCCACACGTACATCTGCCAACCAGGAGCTGGCTTCGGGGAAAGTGTGTGTTCTGAATCACCCAGGACCATCACTGGCACTTTCTGTCCCTTTCCTTGGGCCACTCTGCTCCATCTGACACTGGGAACCTTCCAAAGCTGAGCAATTCCTCAATGCTGGTTGAACTTAAGGAAAGAAGACTGAACCTCCCCCCCAACCCACTCTGCCCACCAAGGGCCTATTATTGGTGGCTCTCTAAAATACTGATATGTCCTCATTAGGCTATACATCCCTTGAGGTAGGAGTTTTTGTTTATTCATGAGCATCTATCTCCCATAGTCTGGAATATGACGTTGCACACCTACAAGGGTGTGACTGCTATTTACTGATTGATTGATGGAGGCCTTCGACTAATTCAGCCATTCACATGCAAACTTCCCCTGCATTGTCTGGAAGCCCAGGGGCCAGACAGAGTTCTGCTCACTCATTTTCCTTCTGCTCTCTCAGCATCATGTCCAGAAACCAGGTATTTGAAACACGAATTCTATCCTTGACACCAGAATGCCTTCATTTCCACAGTCAAGTCTCTGAATGCTCTTCTGTCTTGTGCACATGCTCAGTGGCTCAATTATGTCCAACTCCTTGCAACCCCATGGACTGTAGCCTGCTAGGCTCCCCTGTCCCTGGGATTCTCCAGGCAAGAATACTGGAGTGGGTTGTCATTTCCCCCTCATCTTCCCGACCCAGGGGTAGATCCCGTGTCTCCTGCGTCTCTTGCGTTGCAGATGGATTCTTTCACTGCTGAGCCACAGGGAAGCCCTTGTTTTCTTCTCTCTGGCGTTTCATAATAAGAACCCTAAATAGTAATAATTCATTTGTTATGCCCTGTGCTAAAGAAAGCAATGCCCTTCTGGGAGGTTGTATGTGTTTTTAAAGAAGGGATCCCCAACCTCCTGAATTGCATGCCTAATAATCAGAGGTGGAGCTGATGTAACTATAATAGAAATAAAATTTATAATAAATGTCATGCTCTTGAATCATCCTGAAACCATCACTCCACCACCCCAGTCCATGGAAAAATTGTCTTCCACAAAACTGTTTCCTGGTGCCAAAAATGCTGGGGACTACTGTTTTAAAGAACATAGGCTAAGTGAAATGACCTTGACTTATTGAAATTACAGTCCAGAAAGCAAACAGGACTCATCCCACATGGGACTAAGCTTGCAATTGTTTCTTAGAAATAGATAAGTTCTGGAACAAATCTAATTACTTGATGTCTAATCTGCCAGTTTCAATAGGTCACCCTTCATTACTTGAGAGCATCTTAATTTCACAAGACAACTGGAAATGCTAAAGTTCTGAACATCATGATTACTCACAAAATAGTTTAATATAGGAAGTTTGTAACTGAGCAATGCAAATTTTTCTGTTCATTTTTCTGATTCTATAAATTTTTCTGATCCTTTTAGTTTCAAAGTAGAAATAGAACATCTATATGGGCCTCAAATGCCAATATTTTGAAGCATGGATTTTACCTCAAAATCATATAGTACGTGAAAATTCAACATAGTGTTACTAGAAAATCACAAGCACGCAATTGTATCAATCGTTTCTATCTTTGGTCTCTGAGATGTTCAGTCTTGTCAAATATTTTTAAAACTTAGCAAATTTTCACCAGTGTTATATAATGGGAAAGAATGAAACATTTGAAACTAAGGGGCCAAGGTTAAAGTCTTTTTCTGATAATTTTCTAGCTGTATAACTTGGGACACATCCTTGAATGCTCATAGCTCCATTTTCCTGTTCTGTAAAATGTGAAAAATAATACCTATTTCATAAGATAGCTATGAGCATTAAGTCAGATAATAAATGTGGAAATGATTAAATAGAGCACTCTGTAAACTAGAAATTATTGCACCATCATCACTTTTCTTCATTTGAAAAGTCACAGTGCCAAGGTATGCATGGCCCTAAATTAGGTATCTTAATAGATCAAGAAAGAGTCCCATTAAAAAAACATTGTATTTTAATTAGCATATTTTATAATTCTCTGGAACACTATCTCTAACACTCAAGGACACTGGTTTTACATTAACTAATATAGTTCAAACATTCAGAGCACTTAGCTCCTGAGGATACTGTCTAGAAAGTTTGACATGGTCACCTAAGAGTAATTAAATGAATGAGCAGTAGCAGCAGCAGTGAGAGGCCTCCTCATCTTGCCAGGTGGTTGGTTTTCGATGTGTAAATTTACCCTGGGCTTTTCCTTGTCTGGTCCTTCGATACCGAGAGAAAGACCTACTTTATGCAGAAACCACTTCAAAATTATCTCAGAAAGATGACAATAGCATATATTTTTTTTCCCCAAACATTTATTTTGAATTGAAGGAAAATTGCTTCACAACATTGTGTTGGCCTCTGCCATACATCAGCATGAGTCAGCCTTAGGTATACATGTGTCCCCTCCCTCTTTATCCTCCCTCTCCTCCCACCCGATCCCACCCCTCTAGGCTATTACAGAGCCCCAGTTTGAGTTCCCTGAGTCCTACAGAAAATTCCTATTGGTTATCTATTTTACACATGGTAGTGTATATGCTTCCATGTTACTTTCTCCATTCATCCCACCCTCTCTTTCCTCCCACTGCCAGCATCCATAAGTTTGTTCTCTATGTCTGCGTCTCCATTGCTGCCCTGTATAAATAGGTTCATCAGTACCATCTTTCTAGATTCCATATAGAGAGAATAGCATATATTTTTTCCAGTGTAGGAAAAAAAGCATTTTGTATCTTCATTGATCATGCACAACAAGACTAAGAAATCCAAGGTTTTTTAAGGAAAATGCTTTGTAAAACTTTTTTTAAAAATATTTATTTATTTGGCTGTGCCAGGTCTTAGTTGTGGCATGTGGGATCTGACTTCCTGACCAAGGAACAAACCTGGGCCCCCTGGATTGGGAGCAGAGTCTTAGCCACTGGACTACCACAGAAGTCCCTGTAAAACTTCTCTAAGAAAGAAATTCCTATGAGAGAATAAAAGGAAATTATATCTCAAAAAAGAGGGACAAAGTAAGAAAGGCTATGTATTCAGTGTTTAGAGTAACTTTATATGCAGAATCTTTGGAACAATGTTTATACACTTGGCTTTTTTGGTTTTTTGAACTTCTCTAGTAAGACATTATGAGGGTTTTTTTTTTCT